CAAAGGTTTCGAGATTACTCACTAAAGGCCTTAACATATACTTTTTAGAGAGTGCCTTTCTATAATATAAAATCTATATCAAGTTAAATATATTCTTATTTGTAATTGAAAAAGCCTCGCTGAAAGTGCTTAGCGAAAAATTTAAAAAAATATATGGTAAAGAAAAGTTAGCCAAAAAATACGTGTGATAATTTTTATTTTAAAACTCTCTTTATTAAAGAAACAATTTGTGTTTATTGCCTTACCTTCTGGAAATTTGAACATCGAATTAAGTGTCGCTTCAGCGCTGTGCCCATCAGGGGTTGGCACAAAACGAGAAATAATAGCATCATCCACGGGACAGCTGTAAATATATGTACATACGCATGAAAAAATATGAAAAATTATCTGAAGCTGATTTTTAATTTTTACATAGTGTGAATACTAATTAATAAACATTTGTACTACATAACAAAATAAAAGCTATGCCAGATTATATAAGTATATATTACAACTCACCCTCTGTCATCAATTAGCGGTATACTGATATTCTTCTTGTCAAAAGCGAAACAGTTTGCGACTCTTATGCCATAAGTACCTGAAGATGAAAAATAAATGAAATAAGTATCATTCTCCAAGTAAATAATATATTTACGCATCGGAAAGGTTTTAATAACAAAAACCGTTATGAGCAGAATGCAATTAAAAAATTAATTACCATTTGGCTTCGTTAATTCTGCGCGGATTTTATACTCATGGCCATAAACCGTTTCACGTACACGACGATCATTCTCCAAGAACTTCAAGATGACATGCGCATTGTCATCGCTGGTCACAGCGAAGCGAACGAAATGGAAAATAGAAAAAAAGAGAAAACAAAAAAGCATATGAACAAAATGCTGGTAAATCAGAATAGCTATCTGGTATTATAATTTCGAATTAGAACTTTTTAAGCTACTCCTACTGCAGGGACTGTTAAAAAATTTCGTATTTTTTTTTTCATTTTTACATGCTACAACTGCGTAGAGTGTTGCGGAGCTGTAATATGTATTTTGTTATGAAATTTATGTAGCAACAACAACAACGACTATTGCTGCAGTATGCAACTGGTAATTAAATGTACGCAATTACTGCGGCCTAAGCCCGCTAACTTTTTTGTGGTTTCTACCTGCAGCATAAGAATTATGTAATTTTTGTGCAATGAAAACGAGAATGCGGCAAGCGAGTTGAACGCACTCCGATGTTACAGATGGGCAAATAGTTAAATGTTACTAAAAGTTGCGGAAGAGCGGATCATGACAAAAGAAAGATGCAAAACAATTATATTAAAAACCAACAAAAACAAAAAATCATTTATGAAAACATGCAACACACACACGGAAATACGCTAAAGCAAGCATACATACTTCACATGCAGTGCAACGCCATCGCCGCCAGCGCATTTTAGCAATTTAACAGAGCATAAAATTTGAATGAAATTGAGTAATAATAAAAACTTTATCTATTTTTTGTGTGTTGGCAATTTGGCGAATGCACGCAAATGTGACTGGCAATAAAGTGGAAATTGAACAGAGAGCAATGGCTGCGTTGCCTAACAACAAAAGACTTAAGCCACAAACCTGAAAAACGAAAATCCTCTACGTTGTGGTTTCGATATTTTAATGACTGGCTTTAGCCACAGTGCGAACAAATCAATCAACTTCCTATGAAAAGAAAATTCAACAATAAGTGCGTGCGCTTATTTCAACTCAATTGAATTTTCTTTTGTAAGGGGAAAGACTTAGCCGACCTTGCTTTCAACACTTTTTGCCAGTTTATTCGCCTTACAAAGAAGAAAGAAAGTGACGCTCAGTAGCATGTGGAACGCATAAAGCATAGCAAGCAAGCTAATAACCGCGCACATTCCGTTTTGATTTAATGCTTACGCTCTTAATAACTTCAAAGGGAGCATAGACTATTTTTCATATACATATTTTGGCACACATCAAAGTCATACTTTTGCGGCTGATCACACAATTCCAATATTCGACAAGAACTATTTTGTCTAATTGACTGGCCTTGATGTTGAAGTCATTTGCTTTATTAAGAAAAAAATTGTTTAAATTTTTTGTTTGTTATCTTTTTGTTCGCCAACTTAACGCCAACGCACGCAAACACATGCTTTTTTAGGTAGGATTAGATTTATGTGCTCTGGGGTTCTTATTTCTATACACAATAAAATTTCGCATTAGTGTCAAGCGAACAGATGTATGTATAGATGCATGTATAGACATTAGGGTGGTCCTTAAAAAAATGAAATGAAAGAAGATCACCTAAATCACGCATAAATTTTGGTCCCGATTGTTTAAGGCGTGTCGCACAGGCAACAAAGTACAGATTCCTCTATAAAGGCTCAAAAAATTAAAATAATAAAATAGCGTAGCTAAGTATGGGATTTGTAGAAAACTGAAACGGACTATCACGATATGGCCTTCAAAATTCGAATTTAGTTCGAAAAATTCTTTCGCTTAAAGCCAAAAGGGTGTTATGATGTTTGTGGGCGTTTCATATATCAAAAATATAATCGATCCTTTTAGCTTTAACATGGTTTTGAGGTGAACGTTTTAAAATGGTATGCTTAGTAGAAATCGCGAGAAAATCCAAACCATGACAAATCAGACCTCTCAAAAAAAAAAAAATTTTTGTTGAAAATAATGTCTGTTCCAGCTTATTTTTAACTTATTAGTGTAGCCTCTTAATGTCGTGAACGAAATCCGCCCGGTTTTAGAAAGAACGCCTCTTATTTGATTTTATGATTTTGTTTATTTTGAAACTTTGCATTGTTTGTCAAGCAACATACCGACGCCCATTTGCATGTGTGCTTTTATCTAAATGAGTACGAGTATAAATAAGTCACTTTTGTGTCAGCCTAAGCCCACACTAATCGAATAAGTTTGAATAAATATGTATGTATGTGTGCCTAGCCTTTTGTTTGAAGTGAATTCAAGCAAAGTTGTTGGACAATGATGTATAAACGCATATACATACACTGCCGGAACAGAGTATTGGCACAGCAAATTTTTAACAATGTATGCAACAATTTTATTCTAATATTTTTCCGCCAATTTTGTATAAAAATATGGTTCATTCTATTACAAAAAATATAAAAATATTATAATAAAATTTATTGGGCTACAAACCTGCATACTCAAAAAAATTCAAAAAAATCTGATTAAAAAGTTGAACATTTTCATGATTATTTGCTGAATTCGCGAGCTTTGCACAAAGTTTAGGAACTATATTTTTATGTTTTTTGTTGTAGAATGAACCATGTTTTTATATGAAATTAGCGGAAAAATGTTAGAATGAAAATTGATGCATATATTGTGAAAAATGTGCAGTGCCAATACTATGTTGCTTTTTTTTTGAAATTTCAAGACCCTTCCACCAAATTTTATTCCATTTTATGAGAAATATTATTGCCTATTTTATAGATATTTCAAAGATCATTCAGAAGTCGCGACCTGTCGATTTAGGTCAGAAAATACGATTTTGTAGATTTATGAATTTTTGAATGACTAGTTTTGATTAGATTTCAACAGATCGAATGTGATGTGAGAAGAGGATAAATAGGCCTTTAAAATGGTATAGAATAATCTTTTGTCGGACTTGGCAAGTTCGAATTTTTTATCGTTTAATATAAAAAAAAAAAACATATTTCTGTTAATTTTTTGAATTTTGACCATCGATAATTTCCACACTTTCAAAATATGTAGTCTATCTAAAATCTCTAAAAATAGGCAATAATATTTAACATAAAAACGAATAAAATTAGGGGGTAGGGTCTTGAAATTAATTTCTTCATGATGCAATGGGACCACCTATCCTTTAAAAAAATTATTATTAAAATCGGTTAACTAGGACCAAAGTTATGCGGTAGCATACATAAGAAAAAAGAATATTCCGACGAATTGATAATCTATCCCTTTTTTGAAATCGATTGAAAATTACGATCCATATTCCCAAATTTACTTTGCCAAAACCATATTCATTAAAATATCTAGCGACTTTCCTCTCCAATAACACTTTTTCCCAGGTAGAGTCTGAAAGCCCTTGACAATTTTATCAACACAAGGAGTGCTTGTTACTGGCGAAATTTGGTTCTTTTATAGTGTTTTAAGGATTCTGAAGATTTTTTTTGTATTCGTCCTCATACTAGTCTTGGCATTCAATTTCGTATTTCGTCTTCGGATCGTATTCGTATTCGCACCTATATTAGTGTTCGTTGTCATCGTCGAGTTCTTCTTGGTACCTATATTCGTCGCCGTCGCCGTCTTCGTATTCGTATTCACATCCTTATTTGTCGAGTTATTTTCGTATTTATCTTCATATTCGTATTCTCATTCGCCTTATTTTAGTGTCGTTTTTGTATTCGTCTTCGCAATCATCTTCGTATTCCTTTTCTTCGTATTCATCTTCGTCGTCGTATTCCTCTTCCTCTTCGTCTTCATATTCATGTTTCTATTCGTATTTGTGTTCATATGCATACGGCTTCGTATTTGTTTTGATCGGGATCCCATCTCCAAGGTGTGGCACTCATCAGAATTATAAGGCAACTGATGAATTTTTAACTCACTTTTCGCTTCCTGAATAACTTCAAAGTTTGGTCAAATTTTGGCGCGTACAACTACATATATACATAGAAAGTATAAAATATCGGGCATTGGACGTTCACATAGAGCAATGTATTATGGTTTATAATATCCGACGACTTTTAAGAGAAAAGGATTCAAACATTTTGTCAAAGTCCGTTAGGCATCGCGGCTATTGACGATTTGTTATAAATTATCCATTAAAATTCAGTTTTTATCCAAAATTAAAAAATTCTTACGAAGAACTGCTACAGATATTATTTAAGGTGTGGCACAAAGCATGCTAGGTATAAGCTAGTTTTTGTTTATAAGAATGACAATTTTGCCTAAAAAAGGATTTTTTTCAAGTGAAACTTCTTAATCGAGTTCGGAGATGGTTGCGTAAAATATTTAACATCAAGTCATAAAATCTGTATCGTTCGTACGATTTTCAAAAATGAAGTGTCACATGAAAGGGCTTGACCTGCAGATGTGCAGTATGGTTTAAGTCTTTTAAAGGGTTGCCATATATACGAAAATCAAATTCAAATTATTTATTAAGTTAAACGAATTATCCCAATATGGGTATGAAAAGAAATGGTTTTGAATAAGTTGTATTTTCTAGCTAAATGTAGGAGGGTTGCCACCTGTTTTAAAAGTAAAATTTAGTTAAATTATACAAAAGTCTTACGCTTAAAATACTATACAGTACAGAAAGAGCTTACAGAAACACAATTAAAATAAATATGTATTTTGTATATTAGAAAATAAGTACATGTGTATGTATATCGCACATTTCTTTCTTTCTAGAATTTCCTCTATTAAGTTTCACTACTTCCGCGCGTAGGGACTACACGCACTGAGTTTTTTTTACATATTTTCAAAATTTTCGCAATAATTTTTCGCCCTCTAACGTTTGGAGATTAATATCCATAATTAGAGTTATAAGGACATGTACCGAAACGGCTAAGCATTGGGCCATTAAGTTACACACATACGGCGCGACCCGGTACACGTCTTTTTCATTTCGTAACTAGTTTCGAACTATCTCGAAATTACCCTAAACTATTCCCAAAATTGTCCTGAGGTGGGCCTGAAAAAGTCGTGAACTTGTCACGAAATGATCTTGAACAAGTCTTGAAACTGTGCCGAAGTAGACCATTACTAGTCCAAAAGTGATATCAAACTAGTCCGGCAATGCTCCTGAACTAGCCCCAAATTATCACGAACTAGTCTGGAAATATTCCTGAACTATGTCGTCAACTATTCCAAAATGGTCCTGAAACAGTTCTCCACCAGTCTTAGCTAATCCCGAAATGAACCAGACCTAGTCCTAAAAGAGTCTTGAACTAGCTACTAATGGTTCAGAACTAGTCCCGAAATGGCAGTCCTGAGCAGGTCTCGAAATTTTCCCGAACTCTTCCCGAAATGTTCTTGAAATAGCCTTGAACCCACCCCAAAATCTCGAATAAGTCTCAAAACGGTCCTGAAATGGTCTATATTGATCCTAAAATGATCCTTGAACTAATCTCAAAATTATCCCGAACAAGTATCTACTGCAATAGTTGTGAGCAAGCTTTGCAATGGTCCATAACGAGTCCCTAAAATGGTCCTTAAAATAGTCTTGAACTAGTCCCGAAGTAATCCAGAACAGAACTATAAACGGGCCCGAAATGATCACGAACTGGTTGGTTAGTCGTTGTGCTACCCAAGTTGACACTTAGGATGCAATTAGTGCATAAAAATGCCATTTCGGTGCACCTCTCGTGGACAATGACATTTCATTCTACCGTAATCAAATAACCTAGAATCGCTTATGGTAGCATTAGATAAATACGCTAGCTGTTTCATTATGTGTTTCCCGAAAGTTGTATGTCTTAAAGAACTTCAGACTTCAGCATTTGCAGAGGAAATGAGTTACTGTTTCTTCCTCAAATAGTAGCGAAATGATCCTAAACTAGCCAACATTTTTATTCTTTGCTATGCACCTAACTATCCATATATATACCCAAATATTTAAAATCAAATTCAACTTACCGTCCAAACCCGGATTTTCCACATGTAATAACATAAAACTTATCATCCGCCAATTCCAGTGTTTTATGTACTCGTACCGCCAACTGTATCGAACGTTCCTCTGTACGCTGGAAAATCAAATAAAAGAATACATATGTATAAAATTGTTAGAAATTATATTCAAATCTGTATGCCAGAAATTAGTTATGTCAGGAATACTATATATTACGGGTATTATTCATATTAAAATATTATTGGGTTCAGGCGAAGAGATAAATAAAAAGGATATATGATTTAAGATGACAACTTAACTCTTCAACTACATATGTATGTATTTAGTTTATGGTATGAGGACATATCAAGCAAAAAAAATCGTGCCCTAAGGTTTTAGTTTTTTGCCAGTTCGATTCAATATTTATGTATGTATATCCAACTGAACACGAAATAAATTTGCCGATAGCAATTATTCAAACATTTTTTGCACATACATATGTATGCACATATATACATATACATACATACATATTTTGCTGCTCTGCAAGCAATCAACATTTACACGACTGCCTGCATGATGGTGTGCATACGGTACCATTTCTTTGCCTGTCTGCCGCACTTGTGGCACTTTAATTGCGGCATGATGTAATGGTAGTAATTTTTCAAAGCATTACCTTATCATTATCGCCATTAAAACAGTAGTTTGTTTGGTCATTTATTTATGCCCATACATACCTATGAAAACATTATCTTTCGCGTATTTGTTGCATTTATGTATACATAAATCTTGTACGTTGCAAAGTAAAAAAGAAATAGTGAAACGTAAAAGGAAATGCATTTGAGGAAATGTTGAAAGCCTTCAAGTGTGACGTTATGGAAGTTCAGTTATAAAAGTGCATTATGATCGTTTTTAATTAGTGTTGCTAAATATATATATATATTTTTTTAACTTCAAAGTCATTGTAAATTGTGAAATTGATTAATTTAAATTAACTTATGAGTATCCATTACGTAACTTAATTTTTCCTGGGAATTTTTAATGAGTTACTTACAAAAAGTTATTATTTTTTGAGTCCTGTATTCTTCCAAATCTGAGTAAAACAAAGAAATAAAACTTAATTTTTTAGCAAGTCAGCCACTTCGGCAAGTTATTGAAAAACATAGCCGACGAACTAAAATTACGTTCTACATCATCGCATCTACGCATCAAGCTCGCCTTTTATACATCGTGGAAAAATGGACGATTTCCGTACCGAAGAATATATCTTTAAACACAAACTATACCAGCAATTTACCGACATGGATGTAAATGGAAGGACCTGTCTGCACTCGATATGAACAAGTGGCGTAACTCTTCAGAAAGCAGAGAGGCAATTGGTGAAGTTTTCTTGTCTCCATCATCAGAGTAGATGGTTACTGCACGGAGATCAACAGCATATTCAATAAGCCAAAAGTTCAGCCTCTTTAATGGCTGCGAGATCTACTTGGCAGACACTGCACTGGTTTGTCGACCTGAAACAGAAATCTTATGAGAGCTCTTTTGAGTATATCCCACTCGCTGCTCCTAAATTTAGTTGGGAGCCATCCGTGTTGATAGCTGCAGAGTTAACCTAGATGCCCGTGATCGAATCGATCTCCTAACCATTCCTAGAAGGAATACGTGTCGAGAACTTATTCTCGAAATCTAGAGATTTTTGGAAGAAAATCTTATGACACGAGCTCGTAAAAAAATCTTGAGATATCTTAATAGCGCAGCATTATGATTATTACTAACTGATTTTCTTCGGAAATTTCGTAAAATATTCTAAGTGCGCCTAGTACAATTCATCATCGTAAATTCCACAAGAAATTGGAAAGGGGAATAATGATTTCTCGTAAGAATTCTTTAAGATCTCTATACCATTCAGATTACATTGAATGTATGGTCCTGCATATACTATATGTATTTATATCTATAATAGACTTATTCAGTCAAAAAATGCATGTACAAAATAAGAAAGTCAATTGGTCGAAATCACATAGCAAAAAGAGAAAATAGAATGACAATAATATATCTGAATTTTTGCATGGTATAGCGAAATGCAAGTCGCTGCAAACGAATCGTCAAATTCCTTTTAGGAGTTGCTAACAATAGCCAATAATGGAATAGATAGGGTTGCCACAAATCTATGCTTTAAATTGTAGCTACTGTCATAGAAACAAAATATGTATATGTAGTGAAAAGAAAAGGAAATGGAAGGTATTTGAAACATCCCTAATGCAAAAATATTTTTAATAGGGTTGCCACCTATTTTGAATCGCATATTTATTTCATTTTTTGTTTAGAAAAAAGGTAAAATATTATTATTCATGGGTACCGAGAGAAGGTTCTTGAACAATGCTTTCCCTACATACAAAGTGTTATCGGTTAGGATAATAGTGTGAGGCTGCCACTTATTTTCGATTCTACATAATTTATCTAAAACAGAGCAATATGTATATCAAATTAAAGGTATTGTTGAGAACTTTGGCCAGAATATATTATCCATCAGGGTTGCCACGCTTTTATGCAATACAAATTTTTATTTTGTTAATTTTAATCAGCCATTTTTTTATGTATACACAGTATATATATATACGCTCAAGATATGTACCATTCATTTCAGCGTATTTCGGAATTTCCACCTAAATTTCAAAGTAAGAAATTTACTTAATAGATATCGAAATCCAAATTTTTTTCATTTCATTTCATTGATTCCAAAATTTTTATTTAAAGCTATCCAAATCTTCAAAACCTTAAAAAGTATATGCACTCCGGCCAAAGCTCGGTCAACCAGATACTTTTTTTTAATAATCATATCCTTGAAATTTTAAAGTCGTTAAAAAAATCCTGATGTCAGAGGAAAAGACTAAAAACCCAGTTTTTTTATTTCTGGCCGCTTTTTGGCGCATATATTTATTTTTTTTTTTGTGTGTAAAATTGACCGTGTATTATATGACAATTTAAATAGTTGTTTGCCTTTAGTGTTAGAAATGAAAAATTTCACTAATTATCTTTTGTAATGATGACGAAAATATATAGAGTATGCATTTTAAGTTATGGTATTAATTATTTAGTGTTGTTGTAATAATTAATAAATTAACTTAAAGAGCTATTGCTACTTTGATTAAAGGTTTAAACGCAGATGGTATTTAAAAACTGTTTGTTTACTTACACTGTTTGCTAATTGGCCTACTATCCGACTAATACCAATACATAGCAATATGGTGTTTGCAATAGCAGCTTCGTCACAATATATGTATATATATAAATTTTTTTTTCAACTGCATGAAAACACATTTATGTCAAGAGAAGAATACAAAAAACTCAAAATTGAAATAAAAAATAATAAAAAATTGTACGCCTTTGCGATGCATCATTGACGCTGGCAATTATGGCTAAGGCAGTCGTCGGTGACTGCATCATGACGATAATGATGATAACTGCTGATGAGCTCATAACAAAAACTAAGTAATTATAGCCGTAGAGTGTTACGATAAAGCCATTTAAGTAATAATAAGTTGCCAGTATGAGTAGGTTGTAATATTGCAAAGCGAAATATGGAGCAAGAAGTAGGCAAAAAACGCAAAGGAAGTGAATATTACGCAAAAATAAGCCACTAGGTATAATTACTAAATATTGAATATTTGTAGTTGCAGTTGTGATTATTGGCAAAGATTTGTATAGTCTATTTTTATGCTCAAAGTATTTTCCTCAAACTATATTGAGCACTAACCGCCAAAAAGACGTAAGCGATTTTTTTTTTATTGTTATTAATTTTTTTGTTGCAGAACTGTATCTTGATGATTTAGAAACATTTCTGCATCAAAAAGGAAATTTTGAAAGAAATTTTGAGAACGAAAAATGACACTGAAGATGGCACAACGCCGAAACCGGTATGTCTCCAAACCAAATTTGACAAGGGATGACGGAAATTCGTTCCATAATACATCATACACCCACCCTGTCGGAAACAACAACAACCAAAAAGGAAATTCTTTATATTCCTTAATATTTTGGTTGTAGGCTGTTCCTTAAGCAACTTAACAACGAATTTGAACTTTCATACACAAACTGCTTATAGTTTGAAAAAAAAAAAAAACGTTTAAGCATTGGAACCGTACGTTAACGATTAAGTATGTAGTATTGGTTTTACGCTCAGTCGACGAGAAGAGACAAATTTTAAACAAAATAGCTATCTTACTTTAAAATGTAAAATTTTGGACTTGTACGGTTGTCGAACTGACGAATTTGATTGATATCGTCAAAATTAGAAACAAGTTTACATTTTATTTCTTTATTTGTTGTTAAAACTAAGGAAGCTTTAAACCACCCAGATAATTCTATTTTGATGGTCTTCAACGGAACAAACATTATTGTGTGCAACTTATTTTTAACTAAATCAAAAAATACCTCGGGGAACGTAATCGGTTAAGTATCTGGTATACGTATACTTCCTCTCCGTACATATATCTTCACTGTACCACCAAGTCTATAGTCAGCATTTTTCTATGTGAAAGGCCAATAGCCTTTCCGCTATTATATTAAAATTATCAAAATGATTTTAAATGGAATGTCTGAAAAGTAATAAAATCTTTTTTAAAGTCAACTGAACGATACTTTGTTTTGTTCTGGAAAAGGTAAACAGCTGCTGTGGTATGCTCATTACATTCAGAAACAACTAAAAAATTGTCAAATTTCAAACTAAGAATTTCATCATGATGAACGATAAATTGCTTTCGTTACACCTTTGATATGTACATATATGCATGCACATAAAAAACTTTAAAATTATTGCTTGAGACTATTTTTGTTTACCATATATTTAACTATTTTCCTTATGGGAATTATTGTGTTTTAAATTTAAACTACCAAAAATGCGGCATATAGTAAAAAAAAAAATTAACCACCGTTAGACCGAAAAATAAATTCACAAAAGTATTTTGCAGACGATAAATCTAACAGCTTAACGGCACACAAAACCAATGTCATGCAATTACAGCAAATTTGCACGCTTCAAACGAAGCTCATTAAATACTTCAAGATTTTAATTTAAGTGAATATGATTTGCATACATACCATAAATATGTCTGTATGTGTAGTAGCACACATTTC